TTCAGCTAACTCATGCTCATATTTTAGTCTTAGTTGAGAAGAATTTACTCTAGGAGGCCTTTCTTGGCTCTTTATATCAAATTAGGTTCCACCTTTGGCTACCTAGAGCACCATGTACATTATTCAGCCTTCAGTTCAGTTCAGTTGCTCAGTGGTGTCTGACTCTTTGCGACCCCATGGACTGCAGCACGCCAGGCTTCCCTGTCCGTCACCAACTCCCAAAGCTTGGTCAAACTCATGTCCATTGAGTTGGTGATGCTATCCAACCATCTCATCCTCCATCATACCCTTCTCCTCCAGCCTTCACTCTTTCCCAGTATCAGGGTCTTTTCCAATGGGTCAGTTCTTCGCATCAGGTGGCCAAAGTGTTGGAGTTTCAGTTTCTGTATTAGTCCTTCTAATGAATAGTCAGGACTGATTTCCTTTAGGATGGACTGGTTGGATCTCCTTGCCGTCCAAGGGACTCTCAAGAGTCTTCTCCAACACCACATTTCAAAAGCATCAATTCTTTGATGCTCAGCTTTCTTTGTGGTCCAACTCTCACATCCATACATGACTACTGGACAAACCATAGCTTTGACTAGACAGGCCTTTGTTGGCAAAGTAATGTCTCTGCTTTTTAATATGCTGTCTATGTTGGTCATAACTTTTCTTCCAAGGAGCAAGCGTCTTTTAATTTCATGGCTGCAGTCACCATCTGTAGTGATTTTGGAGCCCAGGGAAATAAAGTCTGTCCACGTGTACTCCAGTGTTCATGGCAGCACTGTTTACAATAGCCAGGACATGGAAGCAACTTAGATGTCCATCGGCAGATGAATGGATAAGAAAGCTGTGGTACATATACACAATGGAATATTACTCAGCCATTAAAAAGAATGCATTTGAATCAGTTCTAATGAGGTGGGTGAAACTGGAGCCTATTATACAGAATGAAGTAAGTTAGAAAGAAAAACACCAATGCAGTATACTAACACATATATATAGAATTTAGAAAGACGGTAATGATGACCCTATATGTGAGACAGAAAAAGAGACACAGATGTAAAGAACAGTCTTTAAACTCTGTGGGAGAAGGTGAGAGTGGGATGATTTGAGAAGGTAGCATTGAAATGTGTATATTATCATATATGAAGCAGATTGCTGGTCCAGGTTCAAAGCATCAGACAGGGTGCTCAGGGCTGGTGCACTGGGATGACCCTGGGGGATGGGATGGGGAGGGAGGTGGGAGGGGGGTTCTGGATGGGGAACACATGTGGGTCTGTGGCTGATTCATGTCAATGTTTGGCAAAAACCACTACAATATTGTAAAGTAATTAGCCTCCAACTAATAAAAATAAATGAAAAAAAAAAAGAAACTACAAAAGGTAAACTTTATAAAACATTTTAATACTATTTAATCTGTGGTTGCTTATATGTTGATAAAAACATACCTTTATCAGCTGATAAATTGTTACAGAAAGTTTTTATAAGATTTGATTGCCCCCCAAATTAGACAGATGTGCAGAATATTTATATAAAAATAGGGTTATAAAAAGAGGAAAATATGTGCAACTAAAATGAAGGAAAGAATAACCTAAAGGGAAAATAATGGACCTTATACCAGTTCAAGGAATGTGATGTGGAAAAGCACCAAAGGGAGGGGATGTGGAATCATGCACAGTAGAAACCTCATTCATGCCAAGAAGATGCAGGCTACATTTGTTTCATTTCTGTGAGAAAGAAAGTACAAAAGCCTTCCAAGATGTGCAGCTGCTTGAATTCAATAGCTGAATGTATCAAACAATTTCAGTTTTTACTTAGAAAATTTCGAAGACAAATTTTAAAAATCATCAAAGCTAAGTTTTTTCTGTGACTTGTTCCCAATATAAATACCTGTCAACTTCATCTCTAAGGTGAGAGAGCATTTGTTTTTTAATACAACACGATTACCTTAGTAATATCAACTTAATTACTATCATTTAATAACTTAAGTCAAAGCCTTTGACTGTGTGGATAAGAACAAACTGTATAAAATTCTTAAAGAGCTGGGAATACCAGACCACCTTACCTGCCTCCTGAGAAATCTGTATCCAGGTCAAGAAGTAAAGTTAGAACTAAATACGGAACAACAGACTGGCTCCAAATTGGGAAAGGAGTACGTCAAGGCTGTATATGGTCACTCTGCTTATTTAACTTCTATGCAGAGTACATCATGCGAAATGCTAGGCTGGATGAAGCACAAGCTGGAGTCAAGACTGCAGGGAGAAATATCAATAACCTCAGATATGCAGATGACACCACCCTTATGGCAGAAAGAGGAACTAAAGAGCCTCTTGATGAAGGTAAAGAGGAGAGTGAAAAAGCTGGCTTAAAACTCAACACTCAAAAAACGAAGATCATGGCATCCGGTTCTATCACTTCATGGCAAATAGATGGGGAAACAATGGAAACAGTGGGCTTCAGAATTGCTGCAGATGGTGACTGCAGCCATGAAATTAAAAGATGCTTGCTCCTTGGAAAAAAAGCTATGACCAACCTAGACAGCATATTAAAAAGCAGAGACATTATTTTATTTTGCCAACAAAGGCCCATCTAGTCAAAGCTATGGTTTTTCCAGTAGTCACATATAGATGTGAGGGTTGGACCACAAAGAAAGCTGAGCATTGAAAAATTGATGCTTTTGAACTGTGGTGTTGGAGAAGACTCTTGAGAGTCCCTTGGACTGCAAGGAGATCCAACCAGTCCATCCTAAAGGAAATCAGTCCTGACTATTCATTGGAAGGACTGATACAGAAACTGAAACTCCAATACTTTGGCCACCTGATGCAAAGAAATGACTCACTGGAAAAGACCCTGATGCTGAGAAATATTGAAGGCAGGAGGAGAAGGGGATGACAGAGGATGAGATGGTTGGATGGCATCACCAACTCAATGGACATGAGTTTGACCAAGCTTCGGGAGTTGGCGATGGACAGGGAAGCCTGGCGTGCTGCAGTCCATGGGGTCACAAAGAGTCGGACATGACTGAGCGACTGAACTGAATAACTTACTTACCTATCACCTTAATTACTGTTGGAATATTTGCCTAAAAGAGAGATTCCAGTGAATCTAAATAAAACTGCAGTACAAGCTTGGTTCCTTTCACATACCAGATAGTTTAGAATTAAATGTTTAAAAAAAAAAAGACACTAAAACCATGAAGTAGAGGAAAATATGTGACTGTTTCATTGATCTTGAACTAGGGAAGGATTTTCTAAGCATTGAAGCAATGGGAATAAATCAGAAAGGAAAGTATCAATACATTTTTACTACGTAAGACTTCTGCTCACTGAAGCGTCATATACAAAATTAAAGGAAAATGACAAACTGGAAAAAATATTTCCTACAATTTTGAACAAGTACCTAAGAGTCTTAATACAGAAAGAGCTCTTACAAATCAATAAGACATTCTATCACAGAAATCAGCTATTTTCTTCTTGTTTTCAGTGTCAAGCTTGTGTTAAGGCCAGCTCCTTTAGTTCTGGAAAACCTGCCTAATTGGCCTTCCTGCTCCAATCTTTCCTTTCTGAACCACCTCTCACACTGTTACCAGAGCTATCTTTCTAAAAGGCAACTGACTTCCTCGAAATTCCAAATGGCTCCCTATCACTTACATAAGAAAGGTAAGCCTCTTTAACTTGGCACTGCATTAGAGACGTTTCTGCCCACCTTTCAGCCTCTTCTTTTTTGGCCTGCTATGTTGTGAATCTCATGCGCTACTCTGACTTCTTGACTATGCCAATGTTTCCCTCACAGGCACACAGCCTTAGCTATTTCTTTTCCTGGACAGCCCCTCTTCTCTGCTCACAGGACCGACCTCCCCTGTCCAATGCCTACTCCTTCTCCAATGCTCTGCTTTGTTCAAAGCCTCACGTGCCTTCCCAAGAAGTCTGCCTCTCCTCTGCTCCTTCCCCAGTACCTGGTGTACATCACGATTAGCATTTGCCAGACTATAGCTTTATTTTACCATAAAGTTAAAATGTGCTTTAAATTTATATGTTTAAATATAATTAGTTATCTTGATGTCTGTTTCTGGTCCTTCCTCACTTCTCAAGAAGGAGCATCTTTATTCAACTTTGTATTTTTAGAAAAGCACATATACGTGCTCAGTAAATGGTGTTAAATAAGAGAATATTTAATTAGATTGAAGGAATCAAACAACTTATAGTGGAAAATGAATTCTAGAACTTTTTAAAAAGGTATATATAAAACTTTCAAGTATGTGGGCACAAAATTGAGAACATTTTTAAGTAGAAATTTTCTGAAGACTTGTGATAAATGGAGATTACTTAAAAACTAATAATGTCTTTAAAAATAGTTTGTTTTCATTTAAGTAGAGTATTTGGGCATTCTAAAATTTGTTTCACATTGTGATTTTCTCTAAGTAAAACAGGATCACACAATTTTAAGAATTACATATATTCCGAACTGGTAAAGAACAAATTAAAGAAATTATAATTGTATCACTACCACTGCTAGTTACTGCTTAGTGGAAACATGTTAAATAAAATAACAGACTAACATTCTTTTCCAAAAATGGAAAAATTAGTTCAATTCTATTGCTGCTTCTGGAGAAGGAAATGGCAATCCACTCCAGTATTCTTGCCCAAGAAACCCCATGGACAGAGGAGCCTGGCGGGCTACAGTCCATGGTGTCACAGAGAGTCGGACATGACTGAGCGACTAACACTTTATTAGTTCTTCATGGTACTGTGTGCCCAGTTACAAAAGTTACTATTTCTGCCCTCAAGAAGATAATAGTCCATTTGCTGAAATAAGATGCAAACACACAAAAATAATCAGAAAACAATTCAAGGCAATATTCAGTGGTTAGTATAAAATCAAGTAGTCACATGGTGAATAAGTTGAAAAGTAGTCAGGGAAGACCTGATTGAGGAGGTACTTGATTTGAGCTTGGAAGTATACGGAGAATTTGAGCTCTTGGAAAGGAGGAAGGTACCCTGACTGGAAAAATATCCTACCTGAGATTTTTTCCATCTCTTCCAACAGCTTTTCCAAGTCTTTATTCAGGTCTGACAGCATTTTCAGCATGTTGTCATAGTTTCTTTCCCCAGGGTCAGAATCAGCCATCTAGGAAGTGCACAGAAAGAAGATGCAGTGAGACAGATTCATGTTTCAATTCTAGCTCCACTACTCACAGCTGGGTACCCAAGCCAGAAAACTTACGTTGTCTTTAACTCCTCTTATCTTCCTGACCTAAAGAGTTACTTGTATCTGACTCTTTGCAACCCCATGGACTATAGCCTACCAGGCTCCTCTGTCCATAGAATTCTCCAGGCAAGAATTCTGGAGTGGGTATCTATTCCCTTCTCCAGGGGATCTTCCGGACCCAGGGATTGAACCCCGGTCTCCTCCTTTGCAGGTGGATTCTTTACTGTCTGAGACACAAGTGAAGCCCCTTCCTGACCTAAGGGGTCACTAAAACTCACCAATTTCATTTTGTCATGGAATAAACATTACATCATCTATGGGTCAGGAAGGATTGTGCTTGAAAGCCACCATGGAACTGAACCCTGCTCTTGTGGAGATCATAGCCTGATCCAGCTCTTTGAAGACTCTTCTATCAGTGCCTTCCTTCTGGTCTCCAAGGCTGCTGCTTTAATAGAGGTCCACTTCATTATACACCATTGATTACAGCTTTACTGGGTATCTACTAAGTGCCAGACATCTGCTATGGTTATGGGGACACTGTAGTGTATCTGAGGATTCAAACAGACTGGATGCCGTCATGGAGTTTCCATTCTAGGGGGAGAGACTGAAAATAGCCAAGTTAACAGATTCATAAAGATACCTTGAGTTTGTGGTCACTGCTACAAAGAAAATAAAAAGGATGGTGTAATAAAGAAGACTTTTTCAGAGGAGTGATGCTTTGGCCTGTAAAGTCAGAGAAGTCCTTTCTGATGTAGTGACATTTGAGCTTCCACTTGAAAGATAAAAAGGAGTTGTCTTCTGAAGATCGAGGGGAAGAGTTCTAGACAGAGGGAATGGCTCAAGAAAAGGTGAGAGCCACCCTGGTGTGTTTTAAGGAATAAAGAATGGGGCTGTGGAGAAGAGTGATAGGACATGAAATCAACTAAGTAGTCAAGAATTTTGCTTTTATTTTGAGAGTGAGGAAAAGCCACTGGAGATTGAGGAAGCAGGGGATCATGTGATTATGTTTTAAGGTAACAGCAGACTTCAGCTGCTGTCTGGCAAATGGACTGCTGCAGGAAATTGAGCGGAGGAAAGAGTGGGAAGATCTATTAGTCAAGAGAGCACTAAAGTGGTCTAGAGATGACAGCACTTGGACTTCAGTGATACTATCAATATTGAGAAGTGAAGTGTTCTGGTTATGTTGTGGAAGATGAGCCAACAGAATTGGGTAGAGGACTTATGTCGAGGTTTGCAGGGGCAAGTGATGGGAAGAGAGAAATTACAATGACCCCTAATTTTGAAGAGAACAACTTGATAGATGGTGGTGTTGTTAATGGAAATGGGGAAGACCAGGAGAGGAGCAGATTAGAAGGTAAACCAGGTGCTCTATTTTTTTGAGGGGGAGCTGCTGCACAGTGCTGCATGTGGGATCTTAGTGCCTCAATCAGGAAATGAACCCATGCCCCTTGTAGAGGGGGTATGGAGTCTTAACTGTTGGCCCATCAGGGAATTTCCAGGTGCTCTATTTTGAACGTGTTACTACTATGGGATGCCTATTGGTGGTTTAGTTGCTAAGTCGTGTCCGACTCTTGCGAGCCCATGGACTGTAGCCCGCCAGGCTCCTCTGTCCATGGGATTTTCCAGGCAAGAATACTGGAGTAGATTGGCATTTCCTTCTCCAGGGGATCTTCCCAATCCAGGAGTCGAACCTGGGTCTCTTGCATTGCAGGCAGATTCTTTACCGACTGAGCTATGAGGGAAGCCAGGCCTCCAATTGGAGATACAAATAGGCAGTTGAATACAACAGCCTGGAGTTCAGGAGTTAGGTTGGAGCTGAAAATATAAAGCTTGGACCTAATGGTACAGGCTCTCTTCATCTTTCATTTGGACTATTTTCCTAGAATTGTAACTGGTCTCCCTGCTTGCAGCTTCCTCATGTCCAATCTATTTTCCAATTCACCCCCAGAGTGACCTTTCTTAACATGCAAAACTAACCATGTCACATTGCTTGAAATCCTTCAATAGCTCCTATTTCTCTCTTTACTATAGATATAAGATCCTTCATAATCTAACTCCTCACTGCCACTATTCTCATCTGGTTCCAAGATGTGACCAAATAACTGAAAGCCTTAAGAGATCCAATATTTAATGAGATATTATTTAAAATTTATAAGAGTTGTGTATTTACAAGAGATGTAATGAAAAACTATCCATGAGCTAACACAAAACTCTGGAAAGTTAAAAAATTTGCACAGTTTTCTTACAAAACAGCTAAGTAAGTACAAAACGGAATGAAATAATTTTGTCATGTGGGTGGTTACAAAAACCTACATGAAAGCAAAGAAACAGGTAATGACATAATTCATATCTAAGTTGTGTGGACTGCTTGCTCAAATCATTAAGTTATAAAGTTTCACTAATATTATTTTATCCATACATTCAACAGTTATTTATTGAACATTATTTTAGATTCTGAAGATAAAGCGCTGAGCAAAACTTTAAAATCCTTGGTCTCATGGAATTTATATTCTAGTCAGGAGAAGAAACAATAAACAAGATTAATAAGTGAAATAAATTAAAGGAGGGATAAGTACTAAAGAAAAAAAGCCAAACAGAAATGGAAGGTGGGAGAGAATATGTATAGAGCAGTGACTGTTCTTCAGATAAGTGTGGGGGGAAAGGCTTTCCTGAAGCGGTTTTGACTACAGACCTGGATGAAGTGAGAGGAGGATGAGTCATACAGATATGTTGGGAAAGGGCATCCCAGGCAGAGCGAATAGTAAAGACAGAGGCCCTGAGCTAGGAGCCTGCTGGGTGAGTGGGAGGAAGGGCAACTAGGGTGGTATGGTTGGAATAGACAGAGTGAAGTGAATAGTAGTAGAAAAGGTGAAAAAAATGGTGAGGCAAAATTGAGGTGGGCCTTATAGGCCAAGACTTTGGCTTTTTCTTTGAGTGAGATGGGGGCCTGGAGGTTGATAATCTGATTTACATGTTAATAAATCTCTAGACTGAGAACAGTTTATATGCACATGGGTGGAGGCAGGGAGACCTGTTATGAGGAGGTCATTGGAATAATGGAGGTGAGAGATGGTTGTCTGAGAAGGCCTTACAAATAGCTGAGAAACTGAGAAGAGAGAAGTTAAAGGCAAAGGAGAAACGGAGAGATACTCCCATTTGAATGCAGAGTTCCAAAGAATAGCAAGGAGAGATAAGAAAGCCTTCCTCAGTGATCCATGCAAAGACATGGAGGAAAACAATAGAATGGGAAAGACTAGAGATCTCATCAAGAAAATTAGAGATACCAAAGGAACATTTCATGCAAAGACGGGCTCAATAAAGGACAGAAACAGTATGGACCAAACAGAAGCAGAAGACATTAAGAAGAGGTGGCAAGGATACACAGAAGAACTGTACAAAAAAGATCCTCATGACCCAGATAACCATGATGGTGTGCTCATTCACCTGGAGCCAGACATCCTGGAATGAGAAGTCAAATGGGCCTTAGGAAGCATCACTACAAACAAAGCTAGTGGGGGTGATGGAATTCAAGTTGAGCTCTTTCAAATCCTGAAAGATGATGCTGTGAAAGTGCTGCACTCAATATGCCAGCAAATATGGAAAACCCAGCACTGGCCATAGGACTGGAAAAGATCAGTTTTCATTCCAATACCAAAGAAAGTCAATGCCAAAGAATGCTCAAACTACCGCACAATTGTACTCATCTCACACACTAGTAAATTAATGCTCATAAATCTCCAAGCCAGGCTTCAGCAGTATGTGAACCATGAACTTCTAGATGTTCAAGCTGGTTTTAGAAAAGGCAGAGGAACCAGAGATCAAGTTGCCAACATCCGCTGGATCATCAAAAAAACAAGAGAGTTCCAGAAAAACATCTATTTCTGCTTTATTGACTATGCGAAAGCCTCTGACTGTGTGGATCACAATAAACTGTGGAAAATTCAGAAAGAGATGGGAATATCAGACCACCTGACCTGCCTCCTGAGAAACCTGTATGCAGGTCAGGAAGCAACAGTTAGAACTGGACATGCAACAACAGACTGGTTCCAAATAGGAAAAGCAGTACGTCAAGGCTGTATATTGTCACCCTGCTTATTTAACCTATATGCAGAGTACATCATGCGAAATGCAGGCTGGAGGAAGCACAAGCTGGAATCAAGATTGTTGGGAGAAATATCAATAACCTCAGATACTCAGATGACACCACCCATATGGCATAAAGCAAAAAAGAACTAAAGAGCCCTTTGATGAAAGTGAAAGAGGAGAGTGAAAAAGTTGGCTTAAAACTCAACATTCAGAAAACTAAGATCATGGCATCTGGTCCCATCACTTCATGGGGGAACAATGGAAACAGTGAGAAGCTTTATTTTCTTGGGTTCCAAAATCACTGCAGATGGTGACTGCAGCCATGAAATTAAAAGATGCTTGCTCCTTGGAAGAAAAGCTATGACCAACAAGACAGCATATTAAAAAGCAGAGACATCACTTGGCCAACAAAGGTCTGTCTAGTCAAAGCTATGGTTTTTCTAGTAGTCATGTATGGATATGAGAGTTGAACCATAAAGAAGGCTAAGTGCTGAAGAACTGATGCTTTCAAACTATGGTGCTGGTGCTGGAGAAAACTCCTGAGAGTCCCTTGAACTGAAAGGAGATCAAACCAATCAATCCTAAAGGAAATCAGTCCTAAATATTCATTGGAACGGCTGATGCTGAAACTGAAACTCCAATACTTTGGCCACCTGATGTGAAGAACTGACTCATTGGAAAAGACCCTGATTCTGGGAAAGACTGAAGGCAGGAGGAGAAGGGGATGACACAGGATGAGATGGTTGGATGGCATCATCGACTCAGTGGACATGAGTTTGAGCAGGCTCTGGGAGTTGGTGATGGACAAGGAAGCCTGGCATGCTGTAGTCCAT